TCTCTCTAATCTGTCAAGATCGTTTTGAATTCTGCTCCTGTCCTCTGGACTATTGGCTATCCCTCCCATATATTGAGAGATAGTTTGATTTGGGGAAGGGAAGAACTGAGATTGCTCATTCTGTTCTGCAATGATATTGATGAAGATTATGGGCATTTGCTATTATTCAAAAATATATAGCTTAAATAAAGACCAACAGTTTAGCATTCCAACATTTGGGATGTCTACAATTAGATCTTCCAAGAGAAGCACCTATAGCCTATGAATCTTCAGCTAGATCAGTGATTCCTAACCTTCCTAATGCCGTGACCCCTTAATACAGTTCCACATGTTGTGGTGAACCCCCAACTATAAAATTATTTTCGTTGCTACTTCACAACTGTAATTTTGCTATTGTTATGAATCGTAATGTAAATATCTGATAGGCAGGGTGGATTTTCATTCACTGGACCAAATTTGGCACAAATATCCAATACATCCAAATTTGAATACTGGTGGGGTTGGCGGGGATTGATTTTGTCATTTGGGAGTTGTAGTTGCTGGGATTTATAGTTCAACTACAATCAAAGACCATTCTGAACTCCAACAATGATGGAAGTGAACCAAACTTGGCAGACAAAACTCCCACAACCAAGAGAAAATATTGGAACGGTTTGGTGGGCATTACCTTTGAGTTTTAGCATTGTAGTTCACCTGCATCCAGAGAACATTGTGGACTCAAAGAATGATGAATCTGGACCAAACTAGCCTCAATATTCCCAAATGTGAACACTGGTGGAGTTTGGAGGAAATAGACCTTCACATTTGGAAGTTGTAGTTGCTTGGATGTATAGTTTGCCTACCATCAAAGAGCATTCTGAACCACATCAACAATAGAATTAGGCCAAACTTCCCACACAGAACCCCCATGACCAACAAAAAAATACGGTGTTTTCTGATCGTCTTTGGCAACCCCTCTGACACCCCCTCGTGACCCACCCAGGGGTCTCGACCCCCGGGTAGAGAAATGCCACACTAGATCATTCTGAAGGCTTAGCAAGAGGGAATAATTTGCAGTTATTTTGAATGCACTGTTGAAGGCTTAATGATTAAGGGTGTGCAATGTGCGTAACTCCTGTGCTGGTTTTGCTGTCCCGATTTCAGTGCCTCTCCCCCTTCATTTTTCAGGAGCTTCCCAAATTCGGGAGGGCAAAATGCCGTTTTTTGATCCAGCAGCTGGAAGATCTCTTTTCGCCCCAGAAAAGCCCATTGTGTAGCTGAAAGAAATTGAAAACGGCTATTTTTGGCAGCTGTGTGTTTTGTGGCTGCTGAAAAAAACATGGCAAGGGCACCCATGCTGTTACAGGTGATCTGATAGCCAAAAGTGCCAAATCATCCAAAGCCCATTTTGAAAAATGGATCTGTTTATTTCTACAATGTCCTAAACATCTCATATGCCAAGCTAACATCAACAAATGGTATGTAAATGATTTTTACATAATTCCAGTTGTTCCATGTAAGGTCCATACCTAACCCAACGCTTCCGTGAGTTGTGAAGTGATAATATCTAAAAATCACCAACCTCCTAGAATGAACCTCACTCACCTCATCAGTAAGGGTCTCATTATTTATGAAGTCAGCAAAGGCAACTGAAGGTGTCCATGGGTCATTCTGGTTATAGATACTGGTACTGAAGGGTTCATTTTCTTTTCGCTTTGTGACAGCCAGCTTGTACCTAAATATAGAAACAGAAAGTCAAAAATAAAGTGTCACAACGCCAGGGCTCTGCCTTATTCAAGTAGAGATGAACCAAACAAAAACCCAGTTTGTATCGAGCAGTTTAATTAAAACAGCATTTACTTTCTGGCTGTTTTAATAGTCCAAGATATAAAACATAAAGATTGCACTCAGCCACAGAATATAAAACAAAAACAGCAAACACTGTTGCAGGTTCAAGATAACTCTGTAGTCAAAAGGTCTCTTCTTCTTCCCTTTCATCTTTTCTTTCCTTTCCTCTTTCTCCCCTTTCTTCCTTCTCTATCTATTCTTGGACAACAATTCCCAGCAGTCGTCCTGATCAATCTACCAGTCTACCTACCTATCTCTATCTAATCTATCTATTTTGAGGATTACTGGGAGCTGCAGTCCAGGAATAGYAAATTGGAAATATGCAGYGATTGGGATGCTCTCAAAGAAATCCAAGGAGAAGAAAGTTTGCATCTTGGAAGCAGTGCATTTGGATCATCCTCCTCTCCTAAAGGGCCTGGTCTAGGGGATGCTGGGAGCTGTAGTCCAGAAGAAAGTGTGGATATGCTATTGTGTGCTTAGTTTGCTWGGGGGTGTAGTTTTTGCACATGTGCTGTAGCYTCTTTTTGCTGTTTTTTGGCCTTTTAAGTCCCTTCCGCTGTGTTTTTCAGTGTTTTTATGAGTGATGGTCACTTGTTGCCCTGATAGGTGTATCATGTCCAAATTTGGTGTCAATTCGTCCAGTCGCTTTTGAGTTATGTTAATCCCACAAATGAACATTACATTTTTATTTATATAGATATTTATATACCGCCCCTCTCAGCCCAGAGGCGACTCAGAGCGGCTCTACAGTACATGAATTCACCCTGGGAATGGAAAATAATTCCACTTGTGTTAAAATTCTTTACTAAAACTTTTGGTTTTATGCTCTATGCTGTGGAGTTTTTGTTTTAAAGAAGAGTGGATCATATCTAAGAATATCACATATTTAGGAAACTTTTGGTGCATTTTGGAGAAATGCTAGCATAGATGGGTGCTAATAATGTAAACGGCTAAAATATGTATAGTAGAAGACACACACAAATACCTTTTAGCCAACAAGAAAAGTGTGTAATGAAACTGCTTTCAAAATAAGTTAGAAAAATAGGGTTTAATGGCTTCACTCAAACAAAACATGAATGTGAATGCAAGTAGGGTTCAGAAAAATACCAGGAAATTGAGAAAGATCTGTTTTTCACATCTTTTGTTTACCCATCTCTGAGATCTACACTGTAAAATTAATGAAGTTTAATGCTACTTTAACTGCCATGACTTTTTGTCAGAGTGCTGGGGCCTACTGAACTACAAATCCCAAGATTCCATATCACTGAGTTAAAGTGGTATCAAACTGAAATAATTCTGCAGTGCAGAAGCTCACTTTCAGATATCTGCAGTGATGGCTATATACAGACCAAAAAGATATTATGAAACATTTAAGAATCCAACACCATATTTAAAAGACCTGGATTTACCTGCTCCAACTAACAGATCTCTCCATTGGGTCTGTCTCTGGTAGATGATCCCCAGCAAAGCTGATCAACTGGATTCGATAGCCACGTTTGTGTCCCCATTTGTTATTGCTATTTGCTGCAAAATATACATATCTCGGCATCTTGTCGTGGAGGCGGAAAGCTGCTTTGTCCTCAGTATCCAGTATATTTTTCACCATTTTCATCTGACGGATCTCATTGTCTGGACTCCAAGGGGCTTTTATGTTCTCAAAGGTCATGTCATTCGACATCAAGGAATTTTTCACACCTAGAAGAAGAGGACAAATATAGTGTTGTACTGCTTATATTTGCATATTGGTGGTGGCACTCTCATAGAGAGAACAATAACACTATGTATCAAAATTTGGAAAAAAAATCTGTTCCTGGTTTGAAAGTGTTATTTCCTGTTTAATTGTAAGTTGCTTACTTTTAAAGTAGCTGTTAAACTCCAGAAACTTAGTTTTGTGGCTGCCACAAACTATGTTGAATTGGATTAGACTATGAGATATTATTGAAAAACTATAGCAAAATGTGTTGCAGGATGTCCCATGGAAAGTTTTTGCAGTTAAATAAATGTTTCTATGTTTTTACGATAGAACCAATTAGAAAATGACATTTATAACCCAGGAACAAAAATCATGTTACATAGTGTAAGAACAAAGTTGGAGAACAGTCTCTTTTATTTATTTATTTCGCGTATTTCTACCCCGCCCTTCTCAACCCCCGAGGGGGGACTCAGGGCAGCTTACAAAGGCACAATTCAATGCCGGTATAAACATAACAATGGATAAAACATGTAAACAGCAATTATAACAATTAAGACAGTCAGTATATACATCAAAATCAATAAAAACAATCTAATGCTCAGCGTTCGCCATCTCTGAGTCCGTAAATTCATTCCACATTGTCAAGTACTATCGATTCTGGTCGTCATTGTCCTTATCTAACCGCCAGATTGCCCGAAAGCCTGGTCCCACAACCATGTTTTTAATTTCCTTCTGAAAGAGAGGAGGAGGGATGACGATTTTCCAGAGGTGAGGGGCCACCACCGAGAAGGCCCTGCTCCTCGTCCCCACCAATCTCGAACTCTGTGTGATAATGTAATTTTGGAGTGTTTGTAAGACTGGGGTAGAGTCCGAGAGCTAGTGGCCTCCCCATGAAGATGCTCAATACTCCGAGGAACATGTGGGTTAGCCGTAGATGGAGTATGCGTTTACCTTGTTGTCGTGGGACAGGTAGACTGGTAGACCACGGAAGCCGCTATAGGGTTTTGATGCTTGTGGTATTTCAGGTCAAGATCACAGCATGCTTTGAATTGCTGCTCTGGTAACTGTGATCTGGCAGCTCAGGTGAGCTGACATAAGCTAGAGTGAGTCGGATGTGGTATGCTCCTGCTCTGACGCTCCCGGTGAGTACTCTGGCTGCCTCCCGCTGGACTAAGTGAAGTTTCCGAACAGTCTTCAAAGGCAACCCCACGTAGAGTGCATTGCAGGATGTAATAATGTAATAAGAGCGTGGGCCACTATGGCCAGATCCGACTTCCCAAGTTTTACTAGTAACAAACCAGCTGATTCGGGTATCTTGAACACAAGGATACAGGTGGTAAACATCAGAAGCTCTCTATTTATTCCATATTCCCAACTGCAAGTTTTCTCCTTCACTACTCTTTGGCTCTTATTTATTTATTTGCTATATTTATACCTCAGTTTTCTCACCCTGAAGGTCACTCAAAGTGGCTTACAGTAGGCAACAATTTGATGCCGCACAAACATACATACATTCCACAGCTTAGGGGCCACCACTGAGAAAGCTCTGTCTCTCATCCTCACCAACCGCACCTGTGAAGGCGGTGAGACCGAGAGCAGGGCCTCCCCAGAAGATCTTAACTTCCAAGGTGGTTCATAGAGGGAGGTATGTTCAGACAGGTAAGCTGCCTATTTCACTTGTCTCTACCAAGTTCTTCTCAAATGTCATGACATTTTTTAAAAGAGGTAGTCGTCTTGGACCAGGTAAGCTTGAAACAGAAACCATGCTTAGGGCTTTAAAGGTTAAAGCCAGAACTTTGAATTGTGCCTGGTAGCAGACTGGGAACCAGTG